GAAATTTCTCCTTCAAATGATTGTTGTCACGCGAACCCATAAATATAGTGAACACCTATAACCCGGAAGCTACAGGAATTTTACCCTGTGCTGTGAGGTGCGAGGTCATGGAATAAATTCTGAAGCGAAATATCTCAGATTATCTCGGTACCAAAAACTTGATTTCCTCAGGGAAACACGGACCCCTTTTACACCTCTCTTGAGTGACAAATATGCCCGTATATATGGAAAGCTTAACTCACGCCAAAAATGAAACGCTCGCATAAAATAAAATATTTTCCAAATTTTCAAAAGCAGTCGATCAGATCCCGCACACTTCACTGCCCCACGTACTCGAGCCTTGCGGTAATCATGGCAAAATTTTACGTTGGATTGGGGCTTTCCTGTCAGTCAGAACATTCAGAGTTGAAAATTCGGCCTAAACTTCTGCACCGGACTTAATCGGAGTTACCAAAAGCCCCGATTTTGGAGCACTTCTATTTCTAACCAACGTCGGCGTCCCTCCAGATTTACTTTCAAGTCCATGAGGACCTTTTGGGCACGATGTGTATTCCGATGTTCCAGCGCATGCGCTTTCCAAATGGATGTAGACACCACAAAGGGGTGAACGCTGGACTAGCAACTTCCTGTGAGTAGCGATACGTGTGCCAATACGTTATTCGGCGGACACTTGGCGAAGGTCTGCGCAATGCAACATGATAACAGTCCGGAAGACATTACGAGGGCAGTACCAAAAACGACTCGGGAATCTCGCTCTCTTCAAAATACACCTTTCATTAAACCATGACAAATCGTCTGAAAAGACATTCGTGGTTTGCCGAAGATGCACCCCCTCGTTTATCGCATGAATTTCCAGATATTTTGTGGAGACCAATGTCGGACCGCCACTACCACAACAATGATCTAAATCTGTCTAAGCGTGTCCGGAGTGCATTTACCAAGATGGTGTTAGTGCGCTACTTATAATTAGACTGCTTAGAATTCAGAAGGTGTTATGCACTAACAAGTTTATTTTTGTGATTAAGAAAAAATACAAATGCTAGGTGCACCTTATAAATACAATGACAATGAAATAAAAGATGACTTATCGATAAGGCTTCGTTGGTTTGAAGGATCTGCAGATGCGGAGCAGGAATGTTCTACAGGAGTGGTTAGCTCTTGAAGATACTCCAGTCAGGTAGATCCGTTGTTGTGTCTTGTTGACTTGCCGCGTGCACGGGATGCTGCGTTGTGTTGAGCGCCTTGCGTATCTCCGTTGCGTGGTGCGTGGTGGAGTGTGTTGTGTTGTCAGGTTCATTATATATTTGTACGCGTTTGCAGTGAATGTGGGAATGTGTGTTTTGATGCATGCTAGACAGGAACTGACTTGTGATCGGTTAAAGTTGCGGGCGGAACGGCGTTTGTCACGTGATTTGTGTGCTTGTGTTTGATTGTGTTCTGTCCTTATACAGGAAGGTTTGACGTGTGTACAAAAACATGAATCGTTCCGTGCGTACTAAACAGGAACTGACTTGTAATAGCAGGTCAGTCGCGGGATCTAGTACACACGCATGTACTGGACAAATTAGGTGAAGCTGGTTGAGGGAACATGTAAATGTCCGCTACAATGGTTGCCGGTCTTAGGTCCGTCGATTATGAAACGCAGATGTTCTAAAACTCTTTCCCATAGAGTCTCGTCGCCTCCTAGCTTACCTACTGCGTATGTTCTGTTTGAGCACCATGTTTTTCTACCGTTTACCCAGATAATAATTGGCGGGGATGTTGTAAGAAAATTTTCGACTTCAGGGTGCATCCCTGTATAAGAAAACAGCTTTTCTCATCTTTGTGCACATGCGCATAGCGATCTTCGTCCCACGGTTTTTCAGAACGAAACAGGACTCAGGGCGATGTGGATTTTGATGAACCAGCTCATGAATCCGTGAATCAGCGAAACATTCACCACGTACGGATGCGTACCCGCAGAGCTGAGAACTTAAAAAGAGGCACTATATGCCTTTTCAGCATTCGGCTTTCAGAGGAGAGGAAGCTTATGTTTGATGATGATGATGAACAAGCCAGCCCGGGAGTTTATGGCGTGATTTTCAGTCCCAGTATTGCAGTCTATTGGTTGCTCAAAACTGCAGTCGCGATCTTAGGGTCCCATAGAGGTAAAATGATACGATACTTTACGAAGATTCATCTTTGGCCCCTTGCGGTTTCAAAAGACCTTTGGTCCGCTTCGAAGCGAAAGCGATGTATGTGAGGACGCATGGCGAGCCGAAAGCAGGCCAGAAATAGGCATGCCCTGATTGGTCAGAATATGGAGCAATGAAAATCGTGGCCTAGTCCGGCGCTTCTAGCCGCGCCGCTAAGATCCTGGTGTGGCCCTGCGAATAGTTCTGTGGCCGATGTATGAGCATGGCGAAAGTACTCTTGCCCTTTCTCTGGTTAAGGTTGTTTTAGACTAGTTTGCTCTTTGGTATAACATAGCCCCTTACGGAGCTGTTCAGCCTTCCCTATCTGCGGGAACTATCCCTTTAGCCGGAAAGAAATGACGACGCCGTCTCCATTCCTAGTCAAGATGCGTCCGACAATTTTTTCGGTGACATAGCAGGTCGTTAGCCCATCACGAGACTGGCTTTGTGAGCCTCAGTGAATAGGGACAGTACCACGACGCTTGCAGGTCGCTTGTGTATATGGCGTTGCCCCAACAGCTGACGGAGTGAGGCTGTGGTCGGCCTAGCCTCTACCCTGTCGAAATTCAGCTTAGTGTCCACTGTTTAAGGTCTTGTGCTCCGCCAGAGGCCTTATTGCATGTGGACTCAAGCCAACGCTTCCACGAATGCTACATTTAATATAAGTGCGGACAGTTGTTGTTGGACGGCTAGACGGATACTGATTGTCTTTGGACAGGACCGATGATAGGTCGGCGGGACGAGAGGCCTTATGCGTGAGTCGGGATATACACTCGGGCACTAATGTAACTCCATATTCGTTCAGCTCTGGCACCCATTATGCGCCTAGCTGCCATTCCACCGAATGGAAGCACGAGGACTGGGATACTGCCAGGTTGCCCAATCTCAGACGAGAGCGGTCGAGGTGCCGTGGTTGGTGCCACAACCACTGAGTTTTCTCTTGCCTCCATGTTCACGGTCCATTTTGCTGTCAAAGTCCGATAGTCTTGATCGAACTATCTGGTGCTCCACCGAGATTTTGTTTGAAACACCCTATTCAACGATCACAAAGTCCTGTTGTGGATATTAGTCATTGTGATCCTTGCCCTCTTCACTTACTGGATCTTAGGAGGACCTGTCGAAAGAATCTACTGGACTATCTGTGGGCGTTTCCCGTAATTTCGAGCCTTCTTTGTATTCGGGCTTTGGGACACTGAGGTGAGCTGCGCATCACCAGAACTGCGTAGCTGGAACCTGAAAGATAGCGGTTAGCAGTCGTCCCAGTTACAATACCCACGTCGTCTTTGTGATAGGTAGCATACATCAATTCAGTTGGAATCCGGTGTATGAGCAGAAATGCCTTGTGCTGCTTGTTTGGGTGCGACTACATTAAGGGCGGCTAATTGGACCGACTTGCAAAGTCTGAAAGTAGACTTCGAAGTATTTAGGGTTGTTACTGAAGTCGGGTCCTCGGAAGCTGCATGTGAATGTGATGCATGGGGAACAAAGCGGTCAATTCTAGTTCTTTGGTCTGCGGGTAATATTCCAGTGGGGTAAGACTGAAGAAGGAATACATGAAAGTATGAGAATTGGGCATCATCAGTAGTATGTCTTTTCTTATCCGTTCTTCTGTATTCACAAGTAAGGTGACCCAAGTGATGACACCGCTGGACGGCCCATGAGGCGTAGCACCACTTGTAGTTTTGATGTTCATTTCGTGTATGGCTGGGTTACTCTGAGGACGTTTACTCCTGTGTAGAAGGTCTTTCAGTACCCCCAACCAAAACCTTTGACTCTAAGATTTGATCTGAAGGCAGCGGATAGCTGCCACATACTACTGCAGTGGCACAGTTTTCAAGGAACAATGAGCTGTGCCTGTTACATTGCCAAAGCTGGTGGAATGTTGCAAGTTCAGTATAGCTCAATGGCTAATAAAGGGCCACATCCTGCCCCTCACGGTAATGTCCTTTTATTGGCATATGCTATATCTGTTCATTTTCATCCTTAATGTGGATGCAGGTCTTGAAGCGTACACACCTGCTATTATGTAGCTTGCTGATATTTTCAAAAGGAACCGCTACTAGTCTTGGACACGTTAGCGTTCTGGCTTTGATGTAGTCTTCGAGCGGTCACGCAAAGTTAGGTCAACTTTATGGATGCCCGATTTGTGGTCCGGTAAACAGGTCATACTTGACCGATATTGATGGCCTGTGAGGAAATTTCGGTAGGGTTCGGGAAAATTCGGACATGTCAACAAATCTAACAGTTAATTTTTTACGTTGATATGCTGTTCACTTCTGTCCTCTGTGTGACCCCTTTTCCTCGAGGGTGTCCGTTAATTGTATTCCTACTACGATTAGACTTTGAGTCCTTTAAACATTGTGACATTAGACATTGTGACCAATTAAATTGATCACTATATCGGTCAGCATGGATTACTCCTTAGATCTCTCAAAATTTTGTGAGCATCAGCGCTGTGACCAACACTAAAGACGCACAATCACTTTTGAATTCTGTAGGTTCCCGTCTGCACTTTGTTCGAGATGCTGGACAGAATGGCGATCATCCAGTTTCGCCAGAGTTCTCATTGCCGGTTGTGTTAACAGTTCAGTGTTTTTGACAGATTATCACCAGTTTCGTTGGGATTCCTATTTTATTTCTCGTGATAGGCTATATATTCTTTTGGTCTCATGTCAGACACTTATTTGTTTTCCGTAATACATCTAACTGCAATCAGATGACCTATTTTTGTTCATTGTCCTCTTTTGACGGTATTTTCGAGCTCTCTACATCTCTGCAATATATGCATTGTATTTTAATTGCATTTGTAGCTGGAATTTGGTCGGTGCGTTAAACACCATAAGCATTCAAATGCCTCATGTTGTCCTCAATTGCGAAAGAGCATCAGGCCGCACGGACTCGGCACAAAGCTTTGCTTGCTTTCAAGAAACAACAGATGTTGACTGCACTGGGTGAACTGACCACTACTCTTCTATGCCAGATTGATGACAAGGTTTCTAAGGTATGGTCGGCTTTCTATGTGGTTCGTTGCGGAAATTCAAGCAAACCATTGTTGTGACTGAAGTTAACCTTGCATATCAGTCAGTCAGGCTGCTGAAAAGCTGAGAGGCGTTTAGTTGTTTCATCGAGGAAGCATTGTAATGGTGTTTTTTGTTGACAATAAGGAATAGGGCCGCAGTGGTTATCAACAGCGATCCTTATATGCAGTGCGTAAATTCTTTTGGTGTATGAAAAATCTGACGAGCACTTCTCAGTGTTAGCTGGTTCACCTGACGATTGTTTTGTTATCGTACTCCAGCTGCGCAACTCGGACTACAATTACACAGGAAAGCCTGCACTCACCTTGGGATAGAGCAACCTGTTACCAAATGATCGCGATTTATGGTCTAGACAGCAATCATAACTATATAGAGTTATAGTTACTCGATAGTCGTATGATTTTAGTCGTCCTTTTCGTGGGTCCACTTACTTAACGCCAAGATGACCGAAAGACAACCATCTATCTGCATTCAATTGCTACAAGACATCATTCACAGAAAAGAGTACGAGCCGTGTGCCATTTTGGCGGAACTCACAAATGTTTCGAGGAAATTCTCTGATTTTCGTTTATGAATGTCTTTATATGAGTTTCTCCGAAGAGCTTGAAGACTCCTCAAGTCACGATTATTATAATGGTGTTCTTCAGCTGAGGCGGAATGAGTGGGGTCTGGCAACGCCGGTACCGTGGCCGCTATACACCGTATTTCGCTACACCGACCTTCAGGATAGTAAGCTCGTCCCTTAACCACTGAGTCATATCGAGCACATGTTGCATCCAGTGCTAAAGTCGGTTTTCATGTGATGCGCTTATTGGCGAAGGAGAGGTTATCCATATTTAGACAGTTCCTAATTGATCGTAGTATTTTCCTAAAATTGATCAGTGATGAATGTATTGGTGCTTCGTTTTGGTCTCCAGTGAATTCCCCCGTCGGATACACTACCAGACTGAACAAACTTCCGTCCAACATCCCAAGACAAGCGATGGTCACGACACAGACGAACTGTACCACGTATTCATCATTATATTTTCACGCCGATCCTTTCCCACAGATGTCGTTTTCATAGTTTACCTCGGCATTTTGGAAGCAAGAAGTGCATACCTGCCGGTTAGGTTCCCCACAGTGATCCTTTTTTTCTGACTGGACACTTTTAACGGAAGTTTGTGATGTAAGTGGACAGTCCACCCCTTTGATCCTTACCGAGCCCAAATTTTTGCACCGTTTTTAAACGCATTGCTCCCTACAAAAATTCATTGTTTGACCCACCCATTTGTAACATCTGTCGTATGCTGCTGATGCGAGTATGCAGTTCGAAATACTACGTTTGTAGTTAATTTACGATCACGTTTGAAATAATAAGTTTATTCGCTTTTGCTCCTCTGGTACCATATATTCGGCTGGTACTCAAGAAGAACCCAAAAATACCACGGACTACATCGAGTTTTGTAAATTATCGTTCCGCTATTGCCTCAGTCCCGTCTGACCCACTTTTTCTTGTTTGGTAACAGTAATCGCGCGTCTGACTGGCTTCTCTTCTACACTGGCTCGGGACAGCTCAGTGGGTTGGTCGCACACTTACTGACCGAGTGGTCCGTGTTTTGAACCCAATCCCGATATCTTGACTGCTCCTTTCTGGGATTGGGCAACCTGACAGTATCTCTGTCCGCATGCTTCCTTTGGGTGTGCACAGCTAACTGAATGTCAAAACCAAACACGTAGAAAAAGCTTATTCTCGTAAAAGTACTGAGTTTCACGGTTGTAAGTCAAACTGGACCAAACTTTTGGTGCTTGTGAGTGGAGCCATTTTTACAGGATGACAAAACTCGTTTGTCACTCCATACAAGCGCTCCCTGTAGGGCGGCCAATCCTCCTTTCTCCTAAAGCTTCAAAAAGTTCATCGTGCGATGTTGCTGCTCTCCAAACCGCTTCAGCGACCAACTTGACGGCGCGTAGCTCACCTACACGGACCATCATTTCATCTTGGCTAGGATATTCCACTGTCGCAGTCACCACTGATGTGTGTCTTAACAGCAGATGAGGATGTCTAAATGGTGGAGTGTTACTGAAACGTGCGCATGGCAACATTTGTACACGGACCACAAAGTTGTATATCAGTTTTTGTTTGAAGTCAGATTAACCCTTTAGCTATCGGGCTTGACATAAATTTCAAGGCGGGATTTGACACAATTAGATACCTGCTGCTAAACGATTCGTTCAGCTGTAGCACCCTATCGGTGCCTAACTACCATGTCACCAGAAGGAAGCACGAGGACTGGGATACTGCCGGTTGCCCAAGCCTAGACAGGAAAGTCGAGAGGCAGAGATCAGGTTTGGACCACGGACGTTCCGGTCAACCACTGAGCCATCTCGCCTCTTTTTAACGCAACCTCAATCACAGTAGGCAGTCGGCTCATATGTCACAAAGTCCCTTGAGGTTGGCCATTGTTCCAGAGGGGCGTTAGCTTATTCGGGAGGTCCTTTGGTTTGTTGTACAACATTGTCGCTCATTTTTAAACTGTTATAACCAATACTATACTACTTCTGCAGTGTTCACTGATATTTTTTACGGGGCACACGGAGCGTTTCAAAACTTATTTTAGTCAGTGTGCTTTAATGGAGACGTTTTTTGTTGTTGTTCAGAACAATCATGATGCCTCCCGTCGTGCCTTTGCTTCCAGGCCTATCACAATCAACGTCGATTGAATTCTGACATCAAGCAGCTTCAGGAGTCTCTCCAAGTTCACAAACGGCAAGTCGCTGGATGGGTGAAACTAGTAGGAGAATTCCACAAAGCTTTGAAGGAGCTGGGTGACGTTGAGAACTGGGCGTGCAAGATGGAACGTGAGACACTTATCCTTGATGGATGTTTACGACTTGTTCTGACGCACACTCCCTACGTTGGGCCAGCAGGACCCTAGGGTTATTGTCGACATTTATCGTCTTTCATACCTTTATACTCTCTATTGCTGCGCTATGTATTTCTTCTGCTTTGTGCTTGTGACTTTCAGTGATTTTCAGAGTTGGAGGAATTCGTCCCCATTCCCCGGGAGAGGAATGGGAGAACATAAACGTGTTGTCCTGAATTTCGAATTTTGATTGACATTTTGATTTGGATAAGTACCGATCATGAATAATGTGACAGACATACACGGCGAACGTGTACATGTGTGCTTACGTTTGCACCTAACCTCACTGCACTTTATCTTTTCCATCGAAAAAAGTCGTTCAATTGTAGCACCCTTTCGGTGTTTAACTGCCATGCTACCTAAAGGAAGCACGAAAACTGATATACTGCCAGGTCGCCCAAGCCTGGACAGAGAAAGTCGAAAAACAGGTCGGGTTCGAATGATGGACCTTCTGGTCAGTAGATTCGCGCTCTAACCACTGAACCATCTTGCCCCCTTTTGCATACTCACTGACGGGTTGTTTTTGTATCAGTGTGTTCCGGTACTGAGCAGTCATATTTGGACCAGTCTCAGCACGACGTTCTTTGATCCCATTCTGCACTCCTCTACCGTAACCCGAAAAAGCCTAGCCAAACTTGTATTCGAGGGGTGGTAATAGTAAGGAAGAAAGTACATCTGGAAAGGATCATCACGAATGAATGCGCGAGGACTAAATTTACATCAGAATATTATTTGTCCTGGATGGTGGACTGGATCATGCTCTGCAAAAGGTCAATACATTTCCTCATCCTTTATGGGCTGACAAACTATCAGCGTTTCCTCCAAATTGGGGAACTTCTCACCCCCAAGAACCCAGCATTCTATTTACTAAGTTTAGAAACCTGACCCCAGGTATCACTTTGGATTCGGGGTTAATAACCCAGGTACCTATGGATCGTTGTCTATTACCACGGATAGTTGTCTATGCAGCAGCCACTTCAGTCGCGGAAAACCTTTGGTACCATCAACTGTGCTGCCTCGGCCGTGCGGTACGCATTTCGAGACATCGTCTGCTGTAACGGTACGGCAGTGAAGCATCAGTGTTGAATACTGATGTCATGTTGTCGATGATGATGATGTAACGAGTGTTGTTCTTCGTACCCGTTTCAGAATGGTGCAAACTGATATGGACAACCTGTGGGTTGGCAGAAAGCGTTTGCGAAGAGTATGAGTATTGTTGGTGTGCTGCGCCTTCTAAGATGGAATCCTCGTGAGTCTTCCTGCTCTTGGATGCAGATATTGCAAGAAATGATGGCTAACAATAGAATCTCTCGTCGTTGGTCGCAGATTATTATGCGTATTCCGTGCTCAAATCTCGGTAGTCTCACGTGATTCGGAGAATGGGTCTTGTGCTAACTTGGGGGGGGAAGGCTGCCGATTTTTTTCGGCGTCCGCGACTGAAGAGTGTAAATGAAACATTAACATATCGAAGCGCATCTCTTCTGTCAATTTGAATGAGAATTAAGCTGTTCTCGGGCCCATTTTGAATGGTCAAATGTGGGATGCATTTTTAACAGCTTAGCAGTCCTCTGCACACTTCTATTCCCTACGGTTACTTTGCCAACACTTGTACTACTGAATCGCGATTTTTGCAACATACTGAAACCAGGCCTACTCATCTTGTGACAAGGTTTCAGAATTCTATTGTCGCCGCCGTAACTGCTTTCCTGACAGGCAAATCGAAATGCCCATTTCTATTCAAATACCCCCAGGATCGACCTCATTTCTTACGCTTTGACCTACAGGGCTGTCTTCCCAGACACTCCGTAAGCAGCGTCCATGCGCTTTTGTGCACAGGAATCGTCGCCTTCATGATGTCGCGTTTGCATCTACTCAGGACTTCCTCCTTGGTTGTTAAGGGAGAGAATGCTAAGATGCCAGCAATCTGAGTCGATCTAGCTCAAATTACAACCTGATCTACTCCTAATGCGGTAGCTATTGCCATACATACTTATACATAGTACTTGACAACTAACCTTGTGGACACTTGTCAGTGAGAAGTAAAGTGTTAAATAAAGCTATCTTCTTGCTTTGTCATGGTTTGCTTTTGTTTTGACCGTCTTTTATATGTGTGGACTGCTTGCAACTGGACGGCAGGAGTATGGGTCATGTGTGGATTCAACCCACCGTAACACACGATCTAGTCGCCGTCGGCCAGCATATTTCCATATCTCAAATGGCGTGTGTATGGGGCTACACAGTACGGGCCGTGTGGTTATGAGGCTTAATGACCTCGAGCAACAGACGTGAGGCATTTTTAGGTTGTCACAAAGTTATAGCTCATATAGTCCGTTTTCAACGAACGAGGAAAGTGGGAAACGAGTGTTCGGTAGTGCGACGGGTACTTCAATCAAAGGATGTGTTTGAGCACCAAATGCTGCAGTAGGTTGGTCTTGGAACATCGCTAATCAAAGAGTATCATCGTTTTCCGTGACCAACTCACAGATGTCGCCAACCTTTGACCTGGCACACGGCTATGAAAGAGATTACGAAAAGTATGGGTGCTGTCCGTGTGATTCAACTTCCAGGATGAGGTTCGGATGATTCCCACTGTCCCTGGTTAACGACTGACTGCTAATCGATGTCAGTGGTGTTTCTATCGGTTTCCATCCAGACTGCTTGGATATATGGATATGCAAGCACCTCAGAATGATTGTGGTAGGCTGGCACTAAGTCCCTTACCTGTCAACCCTTATTTATGACAGTGAAGCATCAATCTTGAACACTGGTGTTATGCTGTCGACGATGATGTCAATGACAATTGTGACGATGATGTAGTGCGACTTAGTGCTAGTCAAGGGGATCCGCGCGTACGGATTATCCACGGATTCATTTGTTGCAATATACTACTCACATCAGGTGTCTGTGTGTTTCTGACCTGAAACTCCGAATCAGCTTCCAACTAGATTAATCGTGATTCAAATGACCGAGAATTCATCAGTTAATCAGCTTACACTCGTCACTTAGGATCGCCCACTACTCATTTCAAAATGTGGCATTCTCGCGTCTGACGGCAGGTAGCTTAGTCAGATTTTTTTGGGAGTAAAGTTGCCTCATAGATGCATAGTCATGAAGTCGATGTACTGGCAGGAGTGGCCTATCCAGGAATGGAAATCTCTGTTGCTTTTTTGTCAAAATATGGGTACCTCAGGTGGGTTTGATGACGGTTATCAGGTGGCCCTTGCTCTATTCACCAGGCTTTACAATTAGCTTGCCAATTTTTCGTCCCGAATTGAGGAACAATTATCAGTTGAGATCTCTACAATAATCAGGCGAAAAGCGTTTTCTTCACGCATCTCTGTTGTGAACGTTACCAGATGTACGGAACTGCATCCAGTTGTAACTAAACTGTGGTCTGATTCAAGAACTTGGCTGTTCTGAACACAGAACAGAAGCGCACTGTTTTGTACGCGTGGCAACGGCGTTCCTAGATCAGATGGACCAATTAGAGGGCAAGAAAGAAGAAGCTAAACAATTCTGAATTATTTTTCAAAGCAATAAAGTGAGATGTGGCAACAGTCAAGCGCTCAAGTCGGACAGTATCCACTGCGGAATTATCTACTGAGCGCCCGTAGTGAGGCGCACAGTTGCTCAGGTTTCTCAGGAAATTTCATACTTTCGGATGCTTGACAGATGGAATTGACACAATTGAGCATGGCTTCCTCCTGTAAAGGATGGTGGAAAAAGGTTCCGGTTCGTCAGACATCTTTGCAAAATGTTTCGAAGAGAAGACACAACTCAGTCGAACTTCTCCATTAACGATGTTAGACAAAAAGTGTAAATATGAAAACTAGTCACGAGCTGTTGATCTTGTTCTGACGGCACACGTTATTTCGAAGATGAAGACTTGGAGGATTCTGTTTCACGAGAAAGACGAAACTGACCGGGTCTTGGAGTTCGGTTATGGTCGAAATATGGGGCTATGGAGGATCACAGTTTAATGTTGAGCCGGAGAACGAACTATCTCAATCGAATGTATCACGTTCAGAAACTTTCCCTTACAACAAACTCTCATTGGCCAATCAACCTAACGGTCCACTCGTTCTGTTCATATTTGTCACTCAGCCATATGTGCACACTAACTCTGAATGTTTGACTGACAGTACGGCCTTGTTCCTGGTCTTCTGTCTTCCTCCTGTCACATGATCTGGCAGGCCCAATTCAGACGTAACTTATAGGCGGTCAGCTAGGATGTAACTCTGAGCATGGGAACAGACTACCTCAATCAAGTGTATTGGGATCGGAAACATTCCCGGACAGTAAACTCTCATTGGTCAAGCAACCTAACCTTCCACTCGGCCGGTCACTTCCAATTCTTCATTGCGGCTTTGTTGACGATTGCAGAAGTGAAACACGTACGTCCATCACGGGAATCAAATAAATCAGCAGAGGTTGACCAATATGCAACTCGATCGGCGCAGGCCACAAAGCAATGGTGCTTCAAAAGCTCACAAAGCTCGTAACTATCAAAGGTATAAGTAAACATTTTTAACGTAAAGCAGGACGGAAAGCAACGCAGGTTGAGCATAAGTCTCTATAGGTCTGCTGGGCTGAACAAGAGTAGTGAGGTATATCTAACGCCCTCAACTTTATCGCCTCAGTTAAAATATTTCGATGTCAACTAGGAGAACGACGAAATTCCGCACCGAACCCAGTTCGGGTATCATTAAGAGTGAGCACCGCGTGGTGTAAAATATGGAAATTTTTAAAGTAAAAGCAGCGCAGTAACTAGAGCGACTGGACCTTATCGTGGTGTGACGGTTTGCGTACCTCCGCGACATACTGAGATATACTGCGTGGTGTCCGTGCGACAATCACAGTCTCTCATACCAGGTTAGTCAATGGGTCAATGGTAGAGGTCCGATTAACACAGTTTACTGGCTCTCCAGGTTGGGGGTTAGAACATATGTGGCGACTTGTTCTATAAAATGGTTGTGCACTTGTGTTTTCCGCCAAACACCGCTGCTCATCGGTAAGGCTTTTGGACCAAAGACTTTGGCAGACACCCTAATCGTCCTCATGTCTTGGTGTGGGCACGCTGATAGTATTCCTGCCCACGTACAAATATGACACCTACAACTAACAATACTCTCACCATATTGGTGTATTTGCTGCAGACAGCAGGACTGGTACGCGAAAACATGTTACTGCTGGCGCCCCCATTCTCGCGCCTTCAAATATTCCTTTTTCTAACCTACCACACTCGAATTCGAACTCTCCACAGATTCCAGTACCAGAACTGACAATTTTGCTTGCTTTGGATCACAGTCAGCTGATTTCCTACTCAGCTTTCTCACTGCATCTTGACCGCTCTCGTCTGAGATTGGGCAACCTGGCAGTATCCCAGTCCTCGTGCTTCCATTCGGTGGAATGGCAGCTAGGCGCATAATGGGTGCCAGAGCTGAACGAATATGGAGTTACATTAGTGCCCGAGTGTATATCCCGACTCACGCATAAGGCCTCTCGTCCCGCCGACCTATCATCGGTCCTGTCCAAAGACAATCAGTATCCGTCTAGCCGTCCAACAACAACTGTCCGCACTTATATTAAATGTAGCATTCGTGGAAGCGTTGGCTTGAGTCCACATGCAATAAGGCCTCTGGCGGAGCACAAGACCTTAAACAGTGGACACTAAGCTGAATTTCGACAGGGTAGAGGCTAGGCCGACCACAGCCTCACTCCGTCAGCTGTTACTACCTCAATCAAGTGTATTGGGATCGGAAACATTCCCGGACAGTAAACTCTCATTGGTCAAGCAACCTAACCTTCCACTCGGCCGGTCACTTCCAATTCTTCATTGCGGCTTTGTTGACGATTGCAGAAGTGAAACACGTACGTCCATCACGGGAATCAAATCTGCCATACCACCTGAAGGAAGCACAAGGGCTGAGATACCGTCAGGTTGACCAAGCCCAGACAGGCGAAGTCGGGATGCATAGATCGGGTTCGAGCCGCTGGCCTTCCAGTCAGTAAATGGAGCCCAACTGGTCAAGTAATAGCCTCCTTGATAACAGATACTTAATTTTGTCCACATCCAGAGCGAAATTCACGTAGACAATGACCTCAAAATGAATTTGCACCTATACTAATGATGGTATGTGCGCTGCTGTTATCTGCCTTGCGACCAACGCCCAACCTACCACAAAAAGGGTTAACGCTTTCAATCATATCGGATCCCCACTTCTGGCTAACAGTCAGTTAAAGGTGAGATATCCTGCACTCATTGCTCAAACATGTCCACCTGCCCGGTCTCTGGTGTGTGAGATCCATACTCTGATGGTAATCACATGCAGTGGAATAGATCTATCCTTGTTTCCTGCCTATTCAGCTACACAGTTGGACTTTTATAGAAAGGTCTTAATGGAAAAATAGACAATAAGTATGTATACATTTACTAAAATTAGAATCATCAAACAGTTTACAAGGCGAAAAAGGCTTTTAAGATTTCAGGATGTGGGTACAGACAGCAGCTGATGGTTTTTTAGGAAAGCTCACGCTTCGAAGCGGACCAAAGGTCTTTTGAAACCGCAAGGGGCCAAAGATGAATCTTCGTAAAGTATCGTATCATTTTACCTCTATGGGACCCTAAGATCGCGACTCCAGATTTGAGCAACCAATAGACTGCAATACTGGGACTGAAAATCACGCCATAAACTCCCGGGCTGGCTTGTTCATCATCATCATCAAACATAAGCTTCCTCTCCTCTGAAAGCCGAATGCTGAAAAGGCATATAGTGCCTCTTTTTAAGTTCTCAGCTCTGCGGGTACGCATCCGTACGTGGTGAATGTTTCGCTGATTCACGGATTCATGAGCTGGTTCATCAAAATCCACATCGCCCTGAGTCCTGTTTCGTTCTGAAAAACCGTGGGATGAAGATCGCTATGCGCATGTGCACAAAGATGAGAAAAGCTGTTTTCTTATACAGGGACGCACCCTGAAGTCGATCTCAAAACAAGAGTTTCAGGCATATTTTCAGGACTAATATTTTTCAAGGAAGGCTTTGGATTTGATCGTATTACAGAGGTGCTTATCCACCAGAGAAATTCCTGAGCTGTCTTTTGTTTTTTAACTGTCTCCTGATAGATTTTCCACGCATATAAGGGGTTCGAAACAAGCAGAGTATTTTACGAGCACGTAGTAAGCACAATTTCCTGGTCAACGCATTAGCTTAGTTATTTATTTCACAAAGTTTGCATCCAAATTTCCAAGTAACAAAAGCCAGATCCATAGGTACTTCGTGCATTAGAGTGCAGAAATCATCCATCTATCCATACAAAAAAACGGGAGTTTGGCTTGCGGGGTTCAAGAAGTCTGTTGAACTTGAGTTGAAAACGTCTCATAAAAATATGAACACCCAGTTAGGATCCATGTTAATTTCAGCCTATTTTTGCTATGATTTTGACCTAAACATTTGCTGAAATATGGTTCCTGGTCTGAGCTGACCCTCCCTGTGTTCCAAAGTTTGCTGCAAACTGCAAAGGCTCAACCAAAACTGGCCTACACTGCGGTGTGGTTCTCCATCATTGTGGCCTATCCAAGGACGAAATCAGTCGAACTAAGGGTTTGGCTCGTTTGCATACATATTCTGATAAAATCCTTCTCAAGTGACCGTTTCATGTTGCTGGCAACTTTTTGCCCAATTCTCTGCCTACTCACACATAATAAGTAGCAACATCTAGTAACGTTTTGCGAAACTTAGAGGCGCAGTGGTACTGTTCGAAACTGTTCCAGCGAGCAACTTCCGTATCAACTAACTTCCCTTGGAAATAGCGAAAGTTGGCAGGGAGACTGCACCAACTCTAAACATTTCGGGAATGTCTTAGCTCCTGGTCAGGATACACTAATCTGAGAGCGGCGGGCAGCAATACTTTTGCGAGACACACGAATCACTTACCATTTGAAGGAAGCAAACGTAACATGCTGCAATGCACTTGTCCATTGGATCGTCCGTCATGGCGTACACGCTGTCTCCTTCATTCATGCGGAAAGTCACACAGGCATGGCAGATTAGGAGCAATCCGGCCACTGAACACAACCAGGCTGACAGCATTTCTTCGAAGGCTGAAGTAAGGAATAAATGTTTCATACAACCCGGTAACTGCAACAATTTTAACGATTATACGTGGGGTAGGAGGCATTCAGACTTACTGATGGTACGACACGCCGTCTGTGTCGAATGTATCTCCAAGTGGATACAGGTGGGATCCGGCTCACTCCCCCTTGGAAACATCAGCTAGATCAGCAGAATATCTTAGCGGCCGTGTTAAAGACGGCCAACAAGGATCTAGTCGCCTATCTTCCTTACCGTACCAATGAAGTTTTCGTCACATTCTGGAGTTCGTTTTGCTATGAAGTGAGACTGTGCTACAGTTCCTCTTCATCAGCACCTCACGACTCTCCAAAGCAAATAAAATCCGCGAACCTTCAGCTACAAGCCAAGTACTACTCTGTTCGCCAACATGTGGCTGATCAATGGTGTAATTAAATCACATTTTGCCTGCAAGCACTACACATGAGAGATTCATCTGGATTTCAGATGAGTCTCTCGAAAAACCAGATTTGTTTGCAAATGAGTGTATTTCGCTAATTTCGTGCAATTTGGTTTCAAGCAGAACATAAGACTGACTGAAGCTCTGAGACTGTGCCTACCTGATGAGCCCCATGAAGGGCGAAACCGGTCGTGATCTGTCGAAGAATTTTCAGCAACCTTATGAGTAGTGCATTACGAATACATATTTGGACAGGTTTAGTACTGGAATTTGTGAATAGGTAATATGATATTTTTTTCATTTTGCCGTATTGCGTATGCGCAACTGATGCATATCATTGCAATGCATTAGACCCGCGTAATGGGTTTTAAACGTGACATCTGGGTCATTATGATCGAGTAGTTTTTCTACCACTTGGCTAGGCTCGAATAAAGAATAGAATCAACGAATGTCAGGAAATAGTGGCGCAATATTCTAAGGCTTTCAAGCCCGATCCGGCTAGGTCGATCCCAATGATATGGACGTATTCAAACTGCCGAGAAGCCCAACTCTGCATCGATTGGCACAGTCCCACTGGGTTTTGGTTGAAAGCGTGTTTACAGACAGTCAGATTTAGATATGAACACTTGGGTTTCCATGTCTCTTGGGGCATTTTAACTTCTGGCCGCTGATTATGAGCAAACGCGGCTCGTGAAATCCACGGAGCCGACATCTCCCTTCCAAGTATCATTTGCTCATAGAATTACTGGATTTCACCTTGTATAAGCGTGATGAATTGTTGTTCTTTCCGTTTTTTTCTGAGTGATTATTGACGTAGCTGTCTCAAAATCATGCTAATTCGTTGACGCAAGCTTTTTACTCTTGTTCACACGGGATAAATGAGCGTGAGAGAAGGTAGTTGCACGTGACTGACAGCTATCTACTTGTTTTATTTATTGGGTTTGACAGGTCCACCGGGAATCGCTTCCATTTTAGTCAAGTTGGACTACATTCTATTCTTGTGGTCGTGTGATCTCTCTCCTCATTAAAAAGGAGCTTCTTACTCAATCGGCGAATAGCCACTTACTTTGAAAGTGGGAAAGTAGATCATCAGCAGGATCCTAAAACCCTTCTTGTCTGGAGACAACTCACTCACTGCCTTTGAAGGATGGATTTCGAACTCATGATTTCGTAATGTTTTCAGGTAGACTGAACACCACATGACTCGATGTGTGTATAAGTTTAAGTCAAAATATTATAAGTCTAGAAGCGAGATTTAATGATTCCGATCTTTCTATTTTTGAGGTAGCTCAGTAGTGACCAGAGGGTCCGTAGTTTCAACCTAGCCTCTGCTTGGACAACCCGACAGTATCTCAGCTCTCGTGCATCCTTCCGGTGGAATAGAAGCTATTTGTCGAAAGGGCTTTACAGCTGGAGGCTTTATACACACACAGACTCATTTTGGGTCGCATTTGGTCAAAGAAGGGAAAAGCTACCGTTGACGAGTATGCTGGGATATATAACGGAAAAAAACTGTTCCACAATATCTGTTGTTTCGAAGAGGACATTCTCCACGACAGGGGTTCTCCATGAAGGGCACTTTGGTGGAACAAAGTAAAATTGTATGAGCCAGTCAGAATGATGGCAGCGATAAGCGGTCTTCATCAAAATGAACCTCAGTTCGTTGGAAAAGATTTTATTTAGGAAATGTGCATCATGGTCAATTGATAGACGTAATACACTACTCATAAGGTTGCTGAAACTTCTTCGACAGCTCACGACCGGTTTCGCCCTCACTGGGCCCCAGCAGGTAGGCGCAGTCCCAGAGTTTCCGTCAGACTTAGGTTTTACTTGAAACCAAACCGCACGAACTTAGTGAAATACACTCATTTGTGAGAGACTCACCTGGAACCCAGCTAAATCTCTTAGTTATGACGTTTTTGAGCTTAAAACGCCTCTTTATAGTTATTTGCTGGAGTTACAGAATGTGTACTCACATAAACCTTTTTAAAAGCAGCGCTTCCTCTATACCGGCGCAATCCGTTCGGTCAGTTCTGACCGTGTGGGGAAAGCACTGGACTGCAGTTTCGCACTTCTCAGATTTGAATTCTGCTAATCTTATGCGTGAGGTAAATGGGCTATCGCTACACCACCACCACCGCAAGATGGTCATGCCTGAGTTATCTCGGCCGAACAGGCTGACCTATTCCTGTTTGAGTGTTCAAGTACCGTGTCGGATTCTCTGAATGGGGACTCAGTGACTATCCTGGTTCTCTCGGTCAACTGTCAGGTCTCCCAAATGACAAGTCAGAGTCGCCTAGTCTGCGCTGGTGGAATGCTGTTATGGAGCTCACTCCGCATGCCAGATGTCCGAGATTCCGTTTCGCGCATGGTCGAGGATATGAACTCAAATAGGAGCGAAACTTGAGTCCAGTGCCCTCTCTCTATGGTGTGGACCAACAATAATGTTTGTGGCCAGACAGAAGAAATACTGTTTCTAAGAGATTTCTGAGAAGTATAAAAAGACTCTGAAGATATGACATTGATAGGAACATCACAAGGAACCAATGAAGCGGATTCGAGGAGTGAATGAAACAGATTTAAAAAAGATGTCCATCTCATAGGAAACATCACAAGTGTGTTGAAATCACCCCTGTTTCAACATTCCAACGTATGCTCCTTTTTGTGTGCTCTAAGCGCCATCCTCTGGTCTTCGGATTTCAAATGCAGTGCCGTAACAGATGGAACAGCAGATGGTGGACTATATCTAGACACTTTCGTGACAATACCTCCATATGGAACACTCAGAACGACCGTGTACTGCAAACCAAACTAAATGGTACACTGAATGCAGTTTGCCACATTTCCAAATGAAGCTTACGAATGCTGTTGGGTAGGCACCCCATAGAGCCAAAAAAGTGTTGTTGGTGGACTAGAATGTCTCCAAAATGGAAAACAACCCATCCTCACCATCCGATGCTCGCCTCTAGAACTTCGTTGTTGTTAAAAGAGATCCCAAGGAGGAACTGTGGGAAGAAGGGGGTTGTCCTTCGTCAAATGGCAGCTGATTTTCATGACAAACCACACAAAT